AATTAATTAATTAATTAATTAATTCGCGGTGGCTAGAAGATTCCGAGAGCTGTGATAAAAACAACTACATTTTCCAAAATTTGTCCCGTAGTTCCTAGTTTATTTGCTCTGACTGGCATCCTGCTACAACGCGGCAAAACGTGGTCCCGGTCTACTTTTAAGATATGGGAATGGCTGTCACTTTGCCGGAATATTCTAGACCATGGTCCCCAACCTTGGGCCTCCAGATGTTCTTGGACTACAACTCCCAGAAGCCTTCACCACCAACTCTGCTGGCCAGGATTTCTGGGAGCTGAAGTCCAAGAACATCTGCAGGCCCAAAGTTGGGGACCACTGCTCTAGACAGTGATACTGAACCCCTGGGGGTAGGATGGGGAATTAAAATAGAGGCCCCTCCGTAAGCATGGTAGCTGCAACCCAAACCTGTCTACTGGTGGTTCTCTGAAGAGAATTTTATCCAATTCACCATCAGGCCTTTGCACCGATTTTCACAGGAAACTTGAAAAACAGCTCAAATAGAATCCACAATTGCAAAAATAAAATAATAAAAAAAAGGCTATGTCTTCTCAGTTCAGTGGACCGAAAGAAAAAGACCGCAGGAGTTGATTTGGAAAAATGCCTTCTTTCTTTACAAAGATAGTGCATGTGGTCTTTCTTTCTCTTTCAGGATGTGATTAGAGGGCATTTGTCCTGCATTTGAAGGACTGTCTTCTCAGTTCAGTGGACCGAAAGAAAAAGACCGCAGGAGTTGATTTGGAAAAATGCCTTCTTTCTTTACAAAGATAGTGCATGTGGTCTTTCTTTCTCTTTCAGGGTGTGATTAGAGGGCATTTGTCCCGCATTGGAAGGCTGACTCACTCCTTTTTCTGGTGACCACACGATATACCTGCCATTGTGATTCAGCCCATCCCCAACTGATGCTGATCTGTACCTTTCTGAGTCCATGTCAGGGGCTACTGTTTATTTTTTTTTTATAAGGGAAGGATTGCTCCCTTTTGGTTTGGTTCCTCTGTGTGTGTGTGTGTGTGTGTGTGTGTGATCACTGGAATCGAACCAAAGCAGCTCACTGGCTGTCTCTTTACTGGAGCTGTTTAATGACCTTGAGAAACGGGGAGCTTCCTGGCTGCTTGATTTAGAGGAGGAAGGAGAGGAAGTTTTGTGTTTCTTTTCAAATTGTTGCTAACACATCAGCCATGCCTAGAAAGCATCCTTTCAAACAAACAATTCCTGATGCGCTACGGCAGTTAGCAACAGTTGAAAAGAAAGAAAAAACTTCCCCTCTCTTCACCCTGCAAAGGGGAGGAGCAAGGAAGATTTCCATTTCTCAGGATCTGGGGGAAGTTGCTTCCTTCCTTCTGTGGTACTGCTCCTGCTTTCCCTTAATCTGTTCATTATGGGTTGAAATTCTGCTTTCACGCAGAAAGATGTGCACATGAAAAGGAAGTGACATGTGCGGACAATGCCTTTGAAAAGTGCAACTCGTCCTCCACCCACCTCTTCCCATGTGTCCAAGAGCATGACATCATCCTCATCCAAGTCATCCTGGCAAAAATCCAAGATCTCCGTCATGATGAACCGTCCCGTCTGATTGGAGCACTCAAACAAGCGGGGCTGGTACTTGCTGACTTCTTCTTGGAACCTGGACAGCACACCACGGAAAAGAAGAAAGAACATTCAATGCTGATTCTAACCACTAGAGGTCAAGATTCCAAATCCAAGAAAAAGCAAGCCAGAAAACAAGCTGCCAGGCTTCCTGATTGGCAGTGGCTGTGAAAGAAGGAAGCTATCAGGCTTCCTGATTGGCAGCGGCTGTGAGGCTTCCTGATTGGCAGTGGCTGTGAAAGAAGGAAGCTGTCAGGCTTCCTGATTGGTAGTGGCTGTGAGGCTTCCTGATTGGTAGTGGCTGTGAAAGAAGGAAGCTGTCAGGCTTCCTGATTGGTAGTGGCTGTGAAAGAAGAAAGCTGCTAGGCTTCCTGATTGGCAGTGGCTTCGAGGCTTCCTGATTGGCAGCGGCTGTGAAAGAAGGAAACTGCTAGGCTTCCTGATTGGTAGTGGATGTGAAGGAGGGAAGCTGCCAGGCTTCCTGATTGGTAGTGGCTGTGAAAGAAGAAAGCTGCTAGGCTTCCTGATTGGCAGTGGCTTTGAGGCTTCCTGATTGGTAGTGGCCGTGAAGGAGGGAAGCTGCCAGGCTTCCTAGCTGGCTATGGTAATAAAGACTTTCTTTGCAGTGGCCTTTTAGAAATGTGTTTTCTATTTCAGGTTTGCATTGATCAACAAATTAAAGAAGCAATACCCCATGATCTCTGAAGGCTACATACAGTAGGCCGGCAGTATCCATGGGAGATCAATTCCAAGCACCATGAATGCCAAAAAACCAAGGAACTATCAAACAATGTGCATTGCATTGTCTCTGGCTCCCCCTAGTAGCCGGTTCTGGTAAATACACCCTGGGAATATGTACAAATGAGTATTTCTGTGTCTGTGTGTGTGTTATTTAGCATTTTCAGGCAGAAAATAAGTGGATCAGTGGATTTTGATCCCACAGATAATGGGGTTCTATTGCATACTAAAAGTTGGGTGAAGCCAGTTAACAACCATCATGTCAGCAGCCATGAATGGTTGCATATTTGCAGTTAACTTTGCCAGGCTTCAGATGCATGATCTCTGCAGAAAGCAGCTTCAGATGCAATAGGGATGGGGGAAGAAATTTGGTAGAATAGTTCTGTTACGTATTATCGAACTAAACACACATGACTCTCACACACCTCCGTGAACATCACTTGCATTTGGAAATTTGCACTTGCACAAAAATCCAATACAATTCACAAAAGAACAACAAAAATTAGGGGGGAGACAAAGAACATTGTCCAGTTGGGGAAACACACACGAAGAAATGCATACGTTCTTAAAATGTGCAGAGACACACTTTAGTCCATTGGGGNGGGGGGGGGGGGAAATTGAATATGTTTTGAAAAACCACCTAGAGAAACACAAATGAATTTCCATGCAGAACCTCCCCCCCTGACCTCCCATAATCCGAAACGGATTCAAACTAGAAAGAGCGTCAAGGTTTAAATTAGATAAATGTAATCCACTGTAGCTTTGCTGAATGATACCTCCTTGATATGCCAATGCATCTGGTTAGACCTCACCTCTTGTCACTGGAGTAAGGGGCTTTCCCGCCCAGGGCTGCCCAAAATTCGGCCGGCTCCTGTCCCTCCAGGATGGTTTGCTTGTCCCGCTTAGAGATTATGTCGGCCACGGTCTTGGCCATCTCTCGCTCATCCCCGCTGCATCCCTGGGAAGGCAATATACAATCAGGGCACATCACGAATCGGTGTACCAGAACAAGGACATCTGGGTCGCTCTCCACTAAAAGGGTTATATGGAGTAAATCCACGTGGCTGTCCTAGAGTTTCTGCCATTTGTACACAAGGAACGGCTGTTTTCTGTGCAGCCTGGGAATGGATGACGTAGACGGTTCCCAGAATCTGGAAATGCTGCTGTGTTTTTGGGGGGGGGGACTGCAATTCCCCTAACTCCCAAGACAGACTGGGATTTGTTGTCCGAAAGAGCGACGCTCATTTCTGCTGTTGCTCACCTTTCCGCACCACAGGTAGCAGACCTGGTTAGTCCTGAGCAGGAAGACGTCGTTGGAGTTGAGGGAGGAAGCTCGGGCTGGGACCTCAATGGTCTTGGTGTTGAATTCGTCCGTGCCCCTCACTTGGAAGAGCCGGACGGAGGGCTCCGGCTCAGTCTTCTGGTCGCGACTGGTGCCTCCCTAGAAAAACAAAACTGTCGGTGAAGCTTGACAAGAAATAGAGAGGCATCAATGAGTTCTCAAATCTAAGCTTGCTTACACCACGGTGTTACACTTTAACCTTTCAAGAGGGGAGGTCAGAGGCACCCTGGAACCACCGTGGGCCAGATGGCATCGGGGAGGACACGTCTCCGGCACGACTGGGTCCCTGGCTACACAACCGGCTGGAGGTTTTTATGGCTGCCAGTTTGAGCAAACAAACTGGTTTTGTTCTCCTTGTGCTTTCCCCGAATGGGGAAGCCGGTGCTTCGAAAGCTTTCTGAGTTCCCACCTTAATGCCTGTCGGGTTTCTTGAAACACTGGCTGAGGGTGTCTTGCTGTGGTATCTCCAGTCACTGATTGGAGATAACACACAGCTCCATTCCCGGCTCCAATGCAGGGGAGAGAAAGCAAGAGAGGGAGGGAGGAATCACTCTGTTATCTCCGATCAGAGATCGGAAATAGCATGGGGACTGCCTCCCTTTTCTGTGGGCAATCAGGAGGGATCTCCTCTAGATCAGTGGTGCTCAAAAATGGGGTCCCCAGATGCTCTTGCAATTCCCTTCTCAAACTGGGGTCCCCAGATGCTCTTGCAATTCCTAGAAACCTTCACCGCTTGCTGGGCTGGCCAGGATTTCTGGGAGTTGCAGTCCAGCTGGGGACCCCAGTCTGAGAACCACTGCTCTAGACTGCTGGTGGGCCAGATTAGGCACATTGGCTAAAGGATCCCTTCCCCTATTAAGTTACAGGCTGTCAAATCATTTCTGACTCAGGGTGACCCTAACAGGGACTTCAAGGCCTCTAAGATTTTAGAAGAGTGGTTTAGCTTTCTACCCCACCCCTATGAGTTATCATGGCTAAGTCAGGATTCAAATGCAGATCTTCCAGGGTCTAGATCATGCAGACTCACTTGAAGGGCAGGTGCTCCTTCTGGCAGTCTCCATAGCTTGCCTCGTTAGTAACTGCCACAGCCCCACATTTTATCCAGCCATTCCTGTCCTGGTGGCTGAGCATCTCACACAGGGGGTTCTAACCTCATAAATGATCAAATTCCCCTTGAAGATGGCCAGGAAATGTCGCGGCTCCTTCCCCATCGTCACTCGAACCTGCACGGGCTCATCGTTGTACTTCCTGTCCAGCTCCACAGCATTGAAAGCACACGCTGTGATTTCATCGGACGAAGCGTGGCGGCCCTAGAAAGAAACAGTCAAGGCCTCTCACATGCTGCATGTTTCCAAGATCCAGAGAGGTGGGGCAAAAATGGTTCAGGATCCAGAAGAATAAGAATGGTTAACAGGCAGAAGAACATAATATTTCTGGAACACTGAGTATAAATGCTTGTAAAAAGTAACCAGATGGTGACAGTTGCCTTCTTTCTTTCTTTCTTTCTTTCTTTCTTTCTTTCTTTCTTTCTTTCTTTCTTTCTTTCTTTCTTTCTTTCTTTCTTTCTTTCTTTCTTCCTTCCTTCCTTCCTTCCTTCCTTCCTTCCTTCCTTCCTTCCTTCC